TTATTTCATGACGTACGATAGGTTAGGAAAGTTTTTATCAAAGCATATAATTTTGAAACTTTTATTTCGAATTTTTTTTTAAAAATATTTTGAAATGCTGATTTTTTATTGTTTTAAACTTCTACTTAATTTATTTTTCACATATTTTATGCAAAACAATTTGTTTGATTATGTGAAATATAATTTTATTATGAAGGACCTTCATTTATTTTTCTGTATTCAATACGTTTTTTGTACAATAATTGGTATTCAAAGTACATTAAATCAATACACCCACAGCCATAATAGTTCATAACTATTGTTATCACATATTCCACAGAACCCTTAAACTCTGCATACCCACAACTAACAATAACGTCCTGTATGACACAAATCCGTTCAATTTCTGTTCCATTTAAAAAAATACAAATGGAATTAAACATTCATTATGATATTTTTTCGATTAAAAAGTACTTGATTATTCTCTGGAATTCTCTACAACCGGCAGATTGTTCTAAAAAATACAAAGAAACGACTTTTTACAAATAAATAATTAAAAATCGTTTTTCAGAACTGTTTTGTAAAGGATTCATTACGGGGAAAAAATGTTTTTAAAAAAAATAGGCACGAGGCTACTATATGTTATTCTATACTTAACTTTAATTCAGAAACATGCATATTATTAAATAAATATTATTCTGGTATTTGTAGGAGTATAATTATTTGAGTTAATATTCTCATTGACCACGATTGTAACTAAGTAATAAAAATGTGTACGAAGTTACCATATTGTTAATTATAATAAAAAAAAATCCCCCATATACAATTTAAGTGTTATTCGGTAGTACTAAACATTTTTATGACGTAAGTTTTGTTGACGTGATTTTAGATTAAGAAAAGCTCTTTCTTTATTATAAAACAATGGCGATGATATTGCCAGTAAATATAATTTTATAAAAACTTTTTACTCAAATCTCAATATAAAATAATGTACTTTTGAATTAATCCCAAAACTTTTGATTTTATAATCGCATTGAACAATCAAATGGTATGATTTTCGGTTTTATAAAATACTATTTTAAGTTCCTAAATAATATAATTAAATTTTACTATTTTAGGATAATAAAAAATGATGATTTGAATGCTGCATTATACATTTTTATGCATACCTACTCAAATATAATATAATCATGATTTTTTTTCCCTTAATATAATAAATAGTTTTACTATAGTTCTACTCTGTAGCTTAGTTACATAAGAAAAATCATATTATACTAGTAACTAGCATCCAAAACATGTTTACTTTTAAGCTACAATTTTGAAGAATGTTTTCAAGCTATTGACATTATTGACATATACATTTTTATAATATTGTATTCATTATACATTCATGGAATAAAATGTCATAAAAAAAATACTTGCCAAATCGTATAGGTACGAATATTGCTGTTACGTTATGTTAGTATGTTACACGCAATACATTATAAACGGAAATTCTAATAATTACTAATGCATTATCGTAGGTTATATTTTTATACTTCCACACAACTGGAAAAATATTTTGAATATTTGAGTTCAGATTTAATTTTCTAATGTTTCGTATTTCGTAACTGTCGTACAACAAAGTATATTATCATGGGTACGCATTTCGGTTTTTACAATATTGTGAAAAGGGTGTTTGAATGTCTGTAAACTTTCCTTTTTCATAATTATCAGATTAGTTTCAAAACTCAAAACAAATTAGTAATAAAATACTTTACATGTTCGTTATATTTGTGGCATTGAAATCAAAGGACATAATTCATACTATTTTAATTAGTTAAATATCACAATTATGGAAATGAAACTGAAACTCCTAAAATATCGGAATTGTTAGTTATTGGATTAGTTTGATAAACTTCCTTCGGGAATTTGTAATCATGACAGGAGTTCTCTAATATCTTTCAAAAGTTAGAGTTGTCTCTGTCTGTGTTCAAGTCCTTAAGTGGTAAACTTTTCAAAGCCTCTATCAAAAGTTTAGATTTAAAAACTCTAAAATTGAATTAATTTTTTTTCGAATACAATTGTAATTAAGTTACGATTCTATTATTGACCTAATTTTGAATAGTAGCTAGTTAATAAATACGATAATTTCGTAAATTTTGAATTTATTGGTACATGTCCATTTCTTGGCTAATTATTATTATTGAACTCGAGTTAAAAGTTATATAGTAGAAATAACACATTAGCATAAAACAGCAATAATCATAATAAATAATAATAATAATCATTTTTATGTGTACTTCCCGAAACAATACTCAGTGGACACAATAACGTTTAAATATTAAATCATTAATTTATACACGGATATAGGATGGTAAAGTTTTTATTAGACTATTTTTATCTGAAAACAAGAGGCACAGAGAATGTTTTTCTGAGTGTGATGGTAAATAATAATTTAAAAAATATATACATCGTGCTATTAGCTCACAGAAAATTGGAGAAAATTAAAAAATTCTTTCACTGTTCTGCAAACTTTTTACGTAAGAGGTAACCACGGCTAACCATTTTTAAAAATTGTAGTTTATACAATATGAACGATGTCCAAATTTTAAAATTCAATAGAACTACGGCATCAATCTTATTAGGATACCCTTCGGTATTTAATAAACGGAGTTAATCCTCTTTCCATATACTAGTATTATAACAAATTGTCGGCCTTCCCCGGCCTAAAAATAAGCAAAACACTATCGTTTGTCCACTGTTATACACTAGACCCATAATTTTCACAAATTCTAAAATGTTGGTTTGGTGTACATTATTGGTTAATTTCGACACTATGATTTTGGATAAAAGTTCACTGCCGATCCCCTGGGGTATTGTAACTATAGTTTAAAATAACTCTTTTTCGGCGAGAGACACCAGCTATGCACACAACTGTCAAAACTATATAATATATTATAACTGACATTGATCGAGTTGCGTTTTTGAGTTTTTATCAAGCCGACGTTTCTTTAGGCGTAAAAAAATGGTCGATCCGTTCTATAGATAAACTATAGTAAACTATTTTTGTATACCATGAAAATACTGTTAAGTATTAATTTATTATAGGTATAATGAATACCTACACCACTTATAAATTATATTGAACATTATACACATATAGTATACGATTCATAATAATAATATATTATTTTCGATAGTCAATTATAAAATATGTTACTTACATCCCCCATCTCAATAGATACACTATGTTTCCATTGCACATGAAATAACTATTTTTTTTTTTAATCAAACAATGTACTTGTGGAATGGCTATAATTTCTCAATACATTAGATTGTTGTGTCTTTTGACGATTTCTAATGTTTTCTGAAACTGATTGTAATCAATATCGTTGTCTCTGTTTATACCTTGGGTTGCAGCGGTCTCAGTGCGTTATTTTTTAAATAAATTCTAGTTACTACAAAAATAGATCCCCTCTCCATGCCCACGCCATAATTTATTGTATAAATCATAGTGCATTATCTCTCAGTATTGCAATATTGGACAATAATGGTTAGTCCACATGACGCAGTATTTGAACAGATAGATGGTCGAGACAGACAAATAGTGAAAACATTGCGTTTAAGCAAATCCATACGATAGCCGTAAGTGTTGGATAAGCCGGTGGTCGTGTTATTCAAATAAATATTTGTTATACATTCAAAAAAGACACCTCTACTGCACTTTTTATAATATATCCTCACTGAAGTAACATATTATGTCCTCGCCTACGTAATCGCCGCTGAAAATCCCTGTACCAGATCTGAACACAGGTGTTCGCCATAAGTCGCATGACGCAGACCCCCGCGGGGAACCATTCCCCTTGATCCATATTTGAGTGTTAACGTCAAGCGAAACATTTTACTCGGTATTAATTATTTTGTTTTTCCTAGGACTGCAATTTTCCTCGTTGTTTACTCACTATTATCAGCTGTAGTCTAGTCTTTCAGAGTAAATAACATTTTACTCGGATTCCACTCTCCACTCGCCACAGGAAATGTCTAATCGAGTACTACAGCCGATTATGACTTAATTATACTTAAGGTATACGGTACTTATATATAGTAGAATATTTACGTTTAGTGATTGATTAGAGTCTAGGGTGGGAAATGTATACAAATTAAAAATATCGATTTTTCAATTAAGGCCAATTATTTTTAAACTTTTTAAATTGTAAAAAAACTATTATCCACAGAAGTTATGTGCATCGTACAAATACATTTCGTACTATGGGCTAATGGCATGGGGTAACAGTGCCTATAAATGTTGTGCCTAATGTTTTGAGACCACTATTTGATGGAAAACAACAAAATCTTGAACTAACTATGTGTCGCAAATGATAAGAATGGATGGGATTAACTTTATCGGTTAACTAAAAAAAACTTCCAAAGTTCAAAAATTGAGAGAGGTACCTACCTATTTTACACGTCTGTTTTCCATTTTAAATCGAACACGTAAAATTAGTCTTTTGCGAGTTGACAATTATAAACGTGAAAACGGGGCATGGGATTCATACGTAAGGTACACACCAGTTAGTATAGGAAAAATATTATTTTTGGAATAAATATTTGGAATTTATATTTTAACTGTATGACACCGTGTATTAAAAATCTATTTTCAATAGTGTAAATAATAATAAAAACTCGTTTATCAAATAAAGTTTCTACATTCAACTGGTTGTTGTAATATAATATTATGAACTGTAAGAATGTGTTTATTTTAAAAGGATTATTTTTTCAGACATAATTGTTAAAAATGTATCTGTAATTGATTTAATATTATTAATAACTTCATATTGAACATAACATATTGATGTAAACTAGCTTAATCGCATTAATATTATTTAACCCATATAGTATATTGTGATTACAATATGTATTTGGTATTAATAAATAAAAGTACGTAATATTTACCAAAAATAATCATATTATACCAAACCCACAATGTAATCACAATAACAATTATTAGGGTTTTCAAAAACAACGTGCAGGTATCTTACCTTGTTTGGTGACTGCTTGCTGGCGAACAGCACGTCGTACACTGCGCACACAGCCAGCACAGTCAGCCCGGTTTCCTTGGCCAACATGGACGCGGCAGCCATGAGCACCGTGGCCGCCAAGCAGGCCCACTCTCGGACAGCGCAGCACTCCGTCACGCCGCCGGGCAGTCCATCCAGGTCACTGGAGCACGTGCCCAGTCCCAGGGCGGCGAAAACGGTGCGCACCGCCGAGCCCAGTCGGTACGTCCGGCGGTGGCAGCCGGCGTCACAGCACACGACGCGTCGCCGCGGGTCTGGAGTCCTGTCCCGGTGCCGCACGTGCGCCGTGTAGCACAGGAATGCGGCCAAGTAGAACAGGCAGGCCAGTAGGTCGGCGCGGCCCACGACACCGGCCACGGCCTCGGCGTGCACTGGGTGGACGGCGAAGACGGCTGCGGCCGCAGCGGGCCGGCGGCCGGGCATCAACGTCCGGTACACGGCGTATACCAGATACGTGACGGCGCAGTGCAGCAGAACGTTGGCCGCGTGGTAGCCCTTCGGGTCCAGGCCACCCGTCCAGTGGTTCAGCCGGAACGAGGCCACGCACAGAGGCCGGTACGAACCGTGTGAGCTGCTCGACCCGATCGGAGTGCCCCAGAAGTCATTGGTCCAGATGTCGGTCAGCGGCGCGGCTCGCGTCACGTCCGGGTTGTTGACGATCGCCCGGCTGGAAACGCACAAACAAAAATCGCATTATCAGACAATGTGTTCCTTACACGTCAAAAATATAATTTTTATCTAGAAATGGTTACGAAATACATTTAATTTAATTTTTTTTATTTGCTCACGGATATATTTTCTATTTTTCGCTTATCATTGACAATATAGGTACCTATATAGTATATATATTTACACTACCTGGGCATAGGCACTAAGTTACCTCCCAAAATACACGGACTGCCTTCCATCCAATAGTATAATATAATGTTCCCTATTTACTTGAGCGCAAGTCCGTCATGTATGACAAATATAAAATAAATAAAAATAATTTTCCAAACTCGGAGCTGTGACAATATAATCAGGTCGAGGACGTTCTGAGAATTATAAAATACAAAACGACGCGATTTCGATTTTGGGACATCGCAGACCGGATCGTCGCGTCGTCGTGTTTGACCGATGGCCGGCACAAAGGCTATGGGATGAAAAATGTCGTTCGGGCAGACGACCGACCGTTCATTTTCATGCAATGACCGTCTCTGGACTTTTTGGAAACCAGCCAGAATTTTCCAAAGAAACCGTTCCGAAACGATCACGACACGGCAAGCGAAAACGTCGTGCTACACGAGATAAATCACGAACCGGAAATGTTAGCGATAGTGTGTCGGAAATAGGACGTACATGGTGACGCTCGCGACTAACTAACGCGAAGGGATACTGACATACTGTGCGTGACCGCGAACTCTTGGGTCGGACATGATAGTATATCATAATATTATAGATATTGTTGAGCCAATTTTTTTTTTAGGTATACAAGAGAACGAATCCCGGAGAACGAATAATTAATACTGACAATATCAGAACGATAACGCCTACAGCGGCTAAACTGCACTGGTCACAGACGCGTACAGAGAAAACGATTTGAAGGGGGAATTATACTTAAGACACAGAGGTATAATTTTATGTATGTTATAATATTAAAATAATAGATATTTTTACCTAGCTAATCTTAAAAGAGCATACAATATTGAATAATATTACAGCGTAAATACTCATACAAAATATATTGTAATCAATTATAAATTATAAGATGAATTAATGTATAGAGTCCTACTTGAGAGGTTATCTGGAAAATCATTTTACAACAAATTCTTTAACGTCGTATTTGTTATTATTCCGGTATACATACATCAAAGCCATATCCCGCCCTATATATTGTCCCATATAATTCCGTAGAAAGGTTTTGAGCCACCAAAATGTGGAAAAATAATGCGTATTGTGCCTTAGAAATCATTACTTTTTTTTTTTAATTTCAGGGAGAAGGGCTTCACTACCGACTTTTCCCCCCTTCACCACTACTTTACTGCTTGGTCGTGGTATTATAATATAATGTATACAATTAAATAAACCGTTAGAGAACATTTATCAGTATCGTTTTGTCCGTAAATCTGTAAAATATGTTGGCGATGAGTATGTATAAATTATGCCGTGCACCTCTCGGTGTACTTCAAAATGTCTCGAGAATTTAATAATAATGCGAACATTTGAGACACAAACAATCCGAACACTGCGAAGACACAAGTGCTCGTGCAGCAGTGAATGCGAACTTGTTAGTTGTTTGTTCGTTATTTAAGTGGCACAAAGTTCATTTTTATTGTACATCCAAGAAAACTCGAGTGTGTTATACTAAATACATTACTAACGAACAAATTATTCGACGATCGGATTACTCAACTATATCGCCGCTATATCATCAGTGTTTTTGCACTCGAAAATAATAATTGTTAAAAATTATGTATACGATTTTATCATTTCAAAAGACTTTTGAACACACACACTTATTACCATAACCCGCAAGCAGCTTCGTTAAAAATAAAACAAAATAAATAAACTTAAACTGTATAATATTATTATAAAACACTATTAAAAAAATACGAAAATACGAATATAATACTATATAATATGCACTGTAGTATAAGCCTTTATTTTATTTAAGCCTTTTCAGAGGGTTAGTTGCTTCGTTCTGATTAATTTTAATCTGCATCAAACTCTATTACATAGAAATGTATTTTGCTTCATCATTTAAACGGGCGCTAACAGAATTTTTCTTTGCAGCATATCAGAATAAAACAAATTATAAATATCATCACCAATTAATAGCTATAACAAGAATAACGATTTCGAAAACTCTTTGATTTTTTTGGCTTATAAAATATATCCATTTTGATGTTGACTTCTTATTAATTCGCTTACCAATACGCTTTTTAAACTCAAAAAGCTGTTGCCGGTTGTATATCCCATCGACCCGGAAGATTATTTTTTAATATAATATTATCGTAATATTTATATTATTAAAATATAATATATTATACAAAGTTTTGATGATATTAAGAATTTAAAAATCAATTCCGTGTTGTCTGGATCGGAACCTAATGCTTTTTGGAGGTTTTCGGCTATTTCAAGGTTGGTTCTTAATGTTCTTATGTCCCTTCGACAGTAGAAAAATATGTGTTTGGCCATGAGCATTTTTCCAAGTGTATAGCAATCATGGTCTGTAAAGTGTAAGTCAACCATATGTTACCTATTTGGAGTGTACTATGTATTTAGAATTTCCCGTTGTCTGAAATTCAGCACTTCTCAATCTTTTTTTTTTTAGGACGACACCCTAATTATATACATAAAAATGACGACACACTTAAAACAATTAATGGATTTTTGAAAAAGTAACAACTATAAACCTATTTGTAAATTGAGAATAATATAACTATCTTTAAAATTATTATTTTAATCTGTGATTTTTGCCATCATGTCACAACTCCACAATAGTGTCATATAAATATACTCTGGACTTGTCCAAAACATTTATATTGTGTGACTACACAAATCGCGGTAATACGCAACACACCGGTTGAGAATCACTGGTCTGAGTGGTGGAACGGTTGGCCGTGGAAGGATAGTGGTTTTTTTTTCGTTCAGCTTCGTCTGATGGGTTGACCACATGTGTAGCCATTGCAATTGATTTCGTATAATATGATTGTTGGTTTCAATATTATGTAATATACATTTTTACTTATCGATATTTTGTTTAGTACGCGTACGGTCGAGCGTGGTTGGTTAGGCCTAAACTCATTTATGCACAATTTAAGAAATCTTCTTCAAAGAAATTCGACAATGAATATAATATATAATATTATAATGTGTGTAGCTCCAAAATTTTCGAATAATTAGTAATTAGCGATGATGGAACACTTTTATACTCGTACAACGTTTCTCTTCATCTTTTACATTTTTTGGTAATTGGTAATAAGTACACAATATTTTCGCAAATGTAATATTATTTTGATATTTATCTTATACGAGTTGTTATTCTATAAATTATCATCGAAAGCGGTAACTAAAAATATTATAGATAGTATGATAACAATGAATGTCATCTTAATGGTACACTCTGCACACTCAAAACTGCAAATAAAAATTGGTTTTTATTGTTCACGACTTTGTGCCCATACGAGTTGTCGTAAGTTATTGAAATCATAATTTAGAGTCTTCAATGCGTAGAAAACGATTATTTAATTTTTTTTATATAAAATTTTTTTTTTGTGATCGACATCACAATATTATAACAATATCATGCCAATTGCAGCAAATAGAGTTTTGCACCTAATCGCGTGTTAACGACCTGACAGCGAAAGTAAACAATTTATCGACCCTAAACATTTTGAATCTCTCGATTTTACGATATTCTACTGTACTTGTATTTATACTTCAATTGAAATGAAACACAATATTTAAATAATTACACTGAAGATCGGGTATCCGAATATCAAAACGGCGCTGAGGTATTTTCAAATGGATTATGATCTCCATTAAAGCATAACGTTTTTCCGCATCAATCCTGAAATTTTTATTACCCTTTTTATTAACATTTTATGATCATTGCAATTCATTCTATTCATTTGAATAATATCATTTTTTTTTTGTCGGTATAATGGTTAGTTTTTTTGATTCGTTACAGCAGTAGGTGTTTGATATTATTCTCGTATAACTCGTCTTTAAAATCCACTTATATACGATCATAATATGCATGAAAAATAACCAACAACGACAAAACATAAACAGCATCTGTAGTCTGTATACAATAACACTCACGCAGAACAACATGTATGTTAGCGATACTAAAATAGTTATCACACACTCCAGTATAACATTATTACTGTAAATTCTTCAGGTGTACTGAATTATTAAGAATTATGTAGGCTCATATTTTATGTATTTCTAATATTAATTTTAATTTTTAAATTCAATTCAAATGTCATCCGATAAAATTAAAAGAATAATGGCCATTAGTCAATAGAATTATTATTTAAGGATCGTCATCGGGAGGTGTGCAACGATAAACTATTAACGAGAGAAAAAGAACACGATAATAACACAACGTTAGTACAATCTATGCATTTTAATTATTAAATTACATTTTAATGATCAATTTTATTAGAAAAATAAAGACAGATTATGCTTAAATAGACTCAAATAGTCCAATATTTAAAATACTTAATTAAACACAATTAAAAAAAAAATAATAATAATAAAATTGTGGATTTGGATTTGGATTTCCAATTAGGGTTTTTATTTAACTCTGATTTTTTTTTAAACAAAAATTTGTTCCAGAAAATTCCAGGAAGTCCAAATCTAATTAGTGTGTCCATATTTGTGAACTACACACATTTATATCGATTAGTAGGATCGACCCAATTATTAACCATGAACTAAAACGTAAGAATTAATGAGCAAAAATGTCTCATGGTACCATATTATATATAACCATAATATATTCATTAAATTGTCTAATAAACTGCCCTTTATGATGTGCTGTCTTATATTTGACTAACTGCCCGACCTTCCTCTGGAAGAAATTATTTTTTTATAATTTAATTTAAAAACATAAGACTATTTTTTGGCTATACAAATAATATAACGATTAAAAAATTTAAAAAAAAACGCATGGGTGTAAAACAAAAGACACAATTGGGTGAAAGTCTATAACGATTTAAAAATAAACATTATTAAAGAAAAATAAAAAATAAATTGAATACATATCTACATGGACAAATAATGTGTGTACGAAAAAGTTGGGAAAATTATCAAATTGAAAAAAATGCTTTAAGTTATCTCAAAAAACGTAGGACTAAAGTGTTGCAAAAGGCGGTCAAACGTAGGGTTGTTATTAAATATTTTTAGTTATTATTCACTATATATTAAAATATTTTGATATCTAAGTAAAAACTGAACAAAACTGTTTTGTTAGCTCCAGTGCTCAAGCTCAAATTTAAGATGAGAAAAGTTGCGTCACTACCATAAATAATAATAATAATAATAATAATAATAATAATAATAACATAATACATAATTTAGATAAAATGGAAATATTTTAAAAATTGTCTGTGTGTCTTATATTGTTACATCTTCAAACATTAACTTGACAATGCAATTACTATAAAAATCTTGGAATTACAAGTAAAAAATATGCTGAGTGAAAAGAACCAAAATATTTTTTATAATTCATATACGTTTTATGTTTGAAAGATATTGCGCAATGGTTTTGAAAAGTGGGGTTGTTTCAAACGTTTCTGTGAGTATAACATATACCATTAAACACTGAACAATTTTGGTGAGATGGATCACAATCCCAATTTACAACAAAAATTAAATAGACAACAGGTGCCTATTCAAAAAGATTTACACTGATCAATATTTCGTTTTTTTTTTCAAAAAAAACTTTAAGCTGTACCGAGTAAAATTAAACACAGTATGCATTACAAAATTTATATTTTGTCCTCCCCCTGCAATAGGATTCATTAAATGGTATACACAATCTACATAACTGAAAGTTAACTGTAATTCAATTAAGAATCCAAAAATCAGAATCTGAGTAGGTACATTTCTTAAGTATTAAAATACAAACCAAGATCCAGCATGTTTGGTGAATCACTCTGTATTTTAGATTTTATTTTTTAAATTTATTATTTAAAAGTTAAAAAATTAAATCTTTTTAAGTGTTTCATTTCCAGAGAGTAATTAACTTAAATATACTCCTAATTAAAAAAAAATATTTGTAATTCAATTTATTTTTAACACAATACATATTTTACAATATTTGTGTATTTTAAAGATCATATTTATTTTGTTACATATTTTATATTTAAACCAATATTCATACAATATCATTTAATAATATTAACTCTTGTTTTAAAATTGCAGAAATATTTTTTTTTATTAATATATATTTAGGACATTATTTTATGGACATATTGAAACGAATAATTAAGGCATCAATTCTTTGCCGTTTTCATAACTAATTCTTTAAAATACCTTCAATGTTCCCTAAATTCTAGCTGAAGAAGACAGTAACGGTGTAATGTAAATAATATAATAATATTAATAGGTAATATACTAAGTTATAATTTATAACTAAACTAATAAGTAAATGTATCGAATTCAAATCCCAGCTCTACAAGAAAAAAAAATTGACTAGCAAACGTGATTATGATGCCTCCAATTGCTCACGTAATTGTAATAAATGATTTAAATGACACTTAATGTCTATATTTTACAGTATCTATAAATTAGTCATATATTTTATTTGCATCCTTCAGAAACCATTGATTTATCGTTGTTTGAGTAAAATATTTAAAACGAGTTTAAAATAGAGAGATAACAACGATGAGTGTCCTACGATTGTAATATTATAATATATCATAATAGGTAGGCATTTGTGTGTAACGTATAAGTTTAGAACGATTTTTCCTCTTACGCATTGTACAACTCTACTTGCAAATCACAAGTGAATAACCATAATAATAATATATTACCAGAGTGTAACACTCGCGTCACGACTGGTAAGACTAATGACACGAATATAATATATTATACATTTGTGTGTACATAATATATTATAATATTTAGTTTTGGTACCGGTGTCGTGTCGGTTCAGTTGTTGTAGGTGGTCAAACCGGTTTACTAGATGGCGTTACTCGTTCGCTGTACCTATAATTATACTGGTTGTGAATTCGTGACGTAAGTGCCTACACCATATCGTTGGCGAAGAACAAAAAGTTGTACCAGACATCACCGGAAAAGCCAAGTGATTTTCGCTATCGGTTGCACCGCTGCTGCGGCGTGCCTCGCTAACATTCATTGCGCATTGGCAATACATATTTTGTAGTTTGTACCTGTTCCTCGTTCGATGCGATCTACTGCACTTGGTCGTTGGACCGTGAAAATGTCATCCGACCGATTTAAAACGGCCGAGGATAAGGATTTTTGGAATGATTACGGGTTTTTGTTTGGTTTATTTTTTTTGTATTTCATGCCTTACGTGCGGGTTACTAATACAATAGAAAATAATATATATATATATATATATATTTCACTTAACGATAATAGAAAAACATAAACGCCGAAACTGAAAGTAACCTTAAATCGAGCAATTAAGAAGCACAACAAAATATATTCCATATTATAACAATGGGTTCTACCAATAACGTATATAGGTACAATGCTTAATTTTGTTGACATTTTATTAAACTGTAGAAAATAAAATAATTCGTTCTTCGTGTTTCATTAAACCAACTAAAGGTATAGAGGCAACAAAATAAATGGGTACTGTGTGTATTCCGATTAAATGGTAGTTGATAGGATGCAGTCGTTTTTATTTGATATTCATATAATATTGGTGTTAAATTTAATATTTTTATGAATAAATAGATATTCTAATTTCCTAGAAAATGTGTTGGTATCAATGTAATAATAATAATTATATAATATTATTTTACGATCATTACATGATATTATATTTGAAATGAAGCAGAATAATAAATGGTATTGATTTGAACCAATATTTACTAAATTATTACTAAATGTACATTGTACATGCTTGTTGATTATTGGTATATCTACTGTTGATAAATAATAGTTTAAAGTTGTCACTACATATTTTAATGGTATAACGCCTGCTTGGGCATATAGATAACTCAACCCGTGATAGATGTATTTAAATCGTGATGGACTATTAAATCTGTTAAGTCTGCCATATTGGATATCAGGTAGAGATTTTATTTTTTTAAAGGTCGAGTTGATAATACGGTAGTTTTATTATATTGTTTTTTTCCGATTTATATTTAATAACATATAATTTAAATATGATACAGTATGATATTTTACGACATCGATTATTATCTACGAACGAACATATGAAAAAAGCAATGACAGGGACCTCTACCTATGTTCGAATATATTAACATCGGGAAACCAAAAAAAAAAATAATAATATACTATGAGTATAATAGCTTCATTTAAAAGTATGACATAATATAAACGTTATTCGTTAGCAAAGTTCACAGACAAACACAACATAAAATTACGATACAAGATCGACCCAGCATGTTGTTGAACAGTTGTATATTATGTCGGTAATTCCATATAATACACACACGCACATACACAACACTCACACAATACTATATACAAATATATATATATATATATTCATAAACACGGTATACACACACACTCGTCCATGTTGCACGGCCGATATACCACGATATTGTTATAACGGTTTTCATATAATATTTTCTGCATTATGTGTAGTTGCTCTATGAAAGAATAATATTAATATGTGATACTATAATTGTGCCGAGTTTGGTGTTCGACGCGTTTGTTGCCTACTGTGATAAACCAGACCAATTTACGACGAAAGATTCTAAGGTCAAACCGTAATCAGTTCGGTCTTTAAGAATCTAACCAGTACAATAATATAATAAAATAAAATATCGTGTTTAATAGTGTAGGAGGCGGCAGCGGCGGAGTTGCGCGATAGCTAGCACGTGTACGGAGAAGTACTTGTGACACTCGTGTTCGACACACGCCGATGTGTGGACGTTTCGATCGGGTTATTGGAAATCGCAATCACACTATATTATTGTTATGATTAATTTTATCGAATAAGTTTGGTTTTTCTGTTCGATTAACAGCGTCTACCGTCTCGTTTTCGTTATTACTTATTATTATTAATATAACAATTATAGTCTTCCGCACGATGACCACCTACGAAACGGTAACGATACCTCCGACGGGCAAACACATGTCGACGGTAAGCAATAATAATACCTACTTAAAAATTATTATTATTTTTATTTTTGTACTTTATCTAGAGTCAATTAAATAGTCATTATTTAATTAACTCTAGTTATCGTTATCGTGTTATTTATGATATTATAGCTTTATACGACGGTTTTAATAGTAAAATAATGAACGTTCCCGCTTTACGTACGACCGTGACGGCTCCGTCCGAATTTGTTTCCGGTATTTTAAGGCTTTATGCGATAGATGTTTGAAACGGTCCCTCCAAGACTTTAATACATCATAATTTTCTTATAACATTTTTGATTAGAATCAACACTAAACAATTGTACAATATTTTGAAACAAAACGTAGATAATAAATAAAAAAATACATTTTCAAGTAGTGGGTATACCTATAGACGGACATGAGTGCATAACACGTGACAAGATCGAATATAGTTACTGATATTTTATTTGTATTTGGATATAAAATGTTGGTACTTAATTGTCTTAAGATTCTGCCTATAGCTACGTTATACTATTTGAATAATGGTTATAACCGGTAACCAATACCGGTAAGTACCACGGGTATACCATTATGACGAGAGCAATTGGATATCGATGTAAAAAATATATACCTAATATTGTAGGTACCTGAAGCAACATCAAATTGTCTCATTATAAAAGTAGTATGCTCTCTAGAGCGTAATTTTGTATCGTATTTAAGAAAAACACGAGATTCATTTTTATATGGTTTGTACAATATTATCGATTTGTTTGATTGTCAGACTTGTCATCGGGTACTAAAGTAACAAATATGCGCATTCAACAATATGCTATGGCCCCAGTGCCCCACATTTGATATATTATTATGTTTTAACACGTTTCTGGGAGAATCGTGTGCGTTAGTTTGTGTAATAGATTAAGTATACAACACTTTAAAGATTTGTTTACTCACGAGGAAATCCTCCGGATAATATTTACACGTGCAATGTATAATCGTTGAAATACAACTGGCGGTTCTGCTGAAAAACTCAACGAAACGAGCGAAAAACATAAGACCAATATTATTATTAATCGACCAACTTGCGCGCTACACAAATATTAAAAACTTATGATAAGTCGTATTTTGTCGGTTTAATATAATATTAGTTATTACTTTGAGTAATTTGCTTATTATTATTTTAGCGTTACGTTAATATGATTATTATGAATAATGTATACAATAGATTAGTGTAGGTACAAGTGAACTTATTTTAACTACCTAATAAAATAGAAAATTTTACTTTATGTCTTCTTTGTCAAAACAAATGTTTGATACTTATAGATATATATGCACGGAAACATGCTGGTATGTTAAGTGAAGTGTGCAAAGATCTGGCTAGGTTATATATTTTAATTTAAACGTAATAACTTTTACCGTATAAAAAACGATTCATTTATGTCTTTCATTTTCATTTCTCGAAGTACTGTCAATCACTAAACCTCAATATGATATCAAACTTAGGACAAAAAAAGTAAAACCATTTAAATTGTATTAAAACCTAAACGTTTTCGAAGTTAATACAACATTACAATACATTAATGAATTTTTACTACATCATTATTGTTTCCAGCACATTATTTTGGAGTAGCAACGATGCCAAGTCTAGTCTCGAAATATAGGTATATTCACTCACGGATAAATTAATTCCCAAACTCGTGTGCTTTGGCAGTCAGGATTAATCCAAACTTCAAAACAAATGTACTGACATTGATATTGATAAATTATTAAGAGTTTTATCATATTTTCTATAACACATCATGTTTATATTAGGAGCAAAATGTTGAAGTGTATTTTTATCAATAGTTTTCTCATTGGTCTTATCAAACCATTTATATCATATAATTTCATTTCAATGGCCATATTATTTTTATTTTAATACACCTAATCAATTACGTTTGTCGTCAAATATTCAAATCATTACCCAATGGTGCGGGTCTATATTACAATACTGCGATTTTTACGTTGGTTAAATTCAGTATCCACGTTCAGCAAATTAAATCGTAAGTTATTAAAAGCATAATAATTTACGAGTTAAAATATTTAAAAAAAAAGTTAAGTTTGATAATCAATAATCATTCAACGTCATACTTACAGAAAAAACTAATCATTTTTAATAATTTAAATGTTTACCATAAGCTTTTATGTGACGATATTAGTATTATGTTTTTATAAATAGTAAAATTTAGTAGGTACAATAGATAACCTTCAGTTAGGTACATACAATTTACAATTTTACGTTTTATTAATCATATTATATAATATTTTATAAATTTATACGTTTAAATGAATTCTATGAACCAAGATGATAAAATCATGTATTATTAATTACACATCTCATTTCTTGTAGGTAGTTGGTACTTAACAAAATGTATAATATTACCTACCCCAGTGATTCCCAAAGTGTGTGCTGCATTGTCTTTACAGGGGCGCCGTGGTGCTGTAGATTTTATCTGGTCTAAAAATGATAGGTAATATCCGACAAGTGAGCAATAAATAATCGTATATTTACCAGTGTTGCAATTTTTGAATGATGTATTCAAACATTGTATTGACTAGTTGACAATACGATCAATAAACAGTGTTTCATAAAAATTCAAAATAATTGACATTTTAAACCTCAACAAAAGTCAAAAATTTGGTTTTGACATAATACGGATGAATTAGCACCATAGATTAAATTAGCAAATAAAAATAAATTTAACTTGATCTAAGGTAACAAATCAAACGGCTCAAAAAAATCACCAAGTTGGTAGGTCAGTACCTATGTCTCATACAACCATAAAACAATACCAACAAATAGGACACGTAGAAGTGTACTAGAAATTTAAGACCAATGAAAGTGTTAATCAAATCGTATTGCACACATTTAAAGTTGAACATAACCATATTCAAGTATACAGTAGGTACATTATATTAAATATGTCAAATAGTATTTTTCGAATTAAATACGAAACCTACCTTTACATTTGAAATCAAGACTATTGAAATATTATTTGTTTATTATATATTTATCAAGGTCAACACGTACATTAATTTAAAATTAAAAGTAACTAAGAATTATAAATATGCACATTAATATTAATTAAAAATACCAATTAGGTTCCATCAATTATCATAATTTATAGTCAATAATTTTAAAAGATTAGATGGTTTTAGTATGTGAAGTACTATTAAACTTCAAAGTCATTTCAAATAAATATAATTATATCTTTTACTCGTATATAGATACGTTTAAGTTCAATATTTGAAAAAAAAACTGAAGATATTGAACAAATATTAAATATGGAAATCCTGTTAGTTCATGAAATGATATTATTTTGTTATTCATCAATATTTTATATTGAATAAATAATTTCTATTGAAATAACCATAAAAATTATTGATACTGTTATAACATAATATAGTAAAAAATGTAGGTAGGTGTAGGGAGAGACTATTTGTCATACTTTAACTGGCAACGTTAAACACCCGTCCTCCCAAAGGGTAGATGTACACTCACCCCCACCTCGAAGGAAATCTTCCCCTCTCAAGATTGGCTATTTCCTCTCTTGGGGGGTTTTCAGTCATGAAATGCAATGTTTTTTCTTTTTATTATCGAGGGAAAAAACAAAATATATTTTTATATTATGTATAGTGATCAGCAGCACGGTTTATTTATATAGCTGTATAGGGCGCGTATCATTTAGTACGAAATTATATATTTATAACTGTAATGTTGTTTGCTTGATAAATTAATTACATTTTGTTTTTTTGTTTACAGATTATTTTTTTCCACGGTCTTGGCGAATCTGGGTAATTCATAAACATTTACAAAGCTTTAACTATTGATAAAACTCTGAATTTTTCCATGGTATCACAGCTATATACACAGTGCGTTTTGTACGAAAAAAACCAGTAACTCCAAGATAAATAATATAAAACGTTGTTATACTGGAAATATTCACTGTATTTTTTCTAAAACTAATGGAATATTGCAATACCCTCTAAAATGTACCATCCGCGTATTGTTTAAAATACCTATTTATAGAAGTGGCTGTACTTAATTAAGTTTGAAATAAATTCATGGAGTCCAAACATTTTATTGTAAATATCTTAACACAGGCAATCTAAAAATCCTAAGAATCTCAAGGTATAAGAAAATTATCGACGATATATTAACATTTTTCATTTGATATTTCCTTAATTTATTTTACAGTTTATTTAAAATTCTATTGGTTTTGATTATTGATGTTGATGATTTGTGACTGTCATGTTGTGTTTATTATTTTTTATTTTCTTGTTCTTTGGTTAGAAAAAATTCTTTAAAAATAAAATAAATAACAATAATAAAGACATATTTATATCGTGTTGTATAATTTGTATTTTTAGGAGCATTTGGGCTGAGTTATTGACGAATTTACGCAAACCAAACACCAAGATTATATGCCCTTCTGCGTGAGTTTATTTAATTATTTTACAATAATAATTATTATCGTATACATACGAGGTGTATACAATTGGGGGAAGGGGTATTGGGATCAGATCACCCGTGGCATTTTTAAAAAAAAAAGATTTTATGAAATAATGTTTTTTTGAGGAAATTACGAGTATGTTTTATAACTAAAATATTTACAGTTTAGTCCATCTTTACTATTACCATTCTTACTTAACCTAACCATCAGCGGTAAAAACATAATCACCAAAAACATACACACCATAATAATTAACAAGTGGTTTTAGATCAAAAACATTGCTGATTATTACATTTATGGAACGACAGAAATAACCATTTTCGAAAATATATTAATAAGAGTATTTAAATGTTTTTGTGCATTTTATAAAAAGTTGTAAATATTTAGTCCAATACAAAACCCCCGATAAAGTTGTTTCCGAAATACTGTCTCTATAAATTATTGTACAACAAGTGTTTTACTCTAAAACCACTTTGTAATGCCTTTTCGTTTGTTTTTGCTTAAACATGTTTACGTCGTTAGATTAAATTTGTCACTGCTGTCATGTGCTGGGTCCACTCGATAATAGTAAAACGCGATAGTTTCAATAGGGACAGCTAAGGTTTAATATCATTATAACTATATTATACAATAAACATAGGCATTATTAAATAGGTCCTTGCATTTGAGGAACTATATTGACTATTGAATCTCATTTAAAATTATTATTTCATACACTTGATTTTTTTGCCAGTGCATTATCATTACTAATTCAAAACGTCTGTTTTTTCGGACGTGGCTTGGAAATATTTTTCCATTAACCTTTAACTCATATTTTCCTCTACAATGCAAAAGCTACGTTTTTTTTCCAGTGACACACACTTGATAACTAATTTAATATTTTAAATCGAGACATCGTCTCGATCACCCACCGTGGCCGTGGGTCGATCAGTTAACCGATAAATCAGCTTATTTGATTATTTTATTCATAATATAATAATTATTATGGTAGCTGTAGCAAGTACTAGACGATAATAATAACACCTATTTTTTTGTCACTGTATTTTCAAGCCCTAAGATACCGTTGACGTTAAACAAGGGGTTCGCGATTCCAGCGTGGTTCGACGTGTCGACCTTGAACGAAGACGCACCGGAAAACGAGTCGGACATATTGCGAGCTGTGGACAACGTACATGCGATTTTGGACGAGGAATTGGCCAAGACTCGGTTGCCACCAAAGAAATTGTTGCTGGGTGGGTTTTCACAAGGCGGAGCTCTGGCCCTGTACGCCGCACTCACGTACCACAGGCCACTGGCCGGTATCCTGATCATGTCCTGTTGGATACCGTTACACAAGACCTTCCCAGACGTAAGTTACTGTGGTTAAGGCTGGGAATGTATACGATTCCCTATAAAAAGAACCCCGTTAAAAAAAAAACAATACTTTTATGGACTAAAAAAAGAAAGAGTTTGAACCAAATAATAATGCAAAATATTGAATCACACGTGTATGGTGTATGAGGATAAAATGAGTTCTGCAGACGACGAGTGACGAGAACGACCGTCGTACACAAATATCAATGTTATAGTTTCTAGATAGATTTTTAAATGGTGAATTATAATGTAGTGATTCTAATATGTGTTTCCATCGCCGCTCCTTTTACCGGTTTCAACGTCGTATACGTTCGGCAAATGATTAAATTATGCGATTTGAATATTATAATTGTTAAGTAAATGCTTATATGAAAACCTCGTTGATACATACGGATTTCAAAATTATATCTTTAAAAAAATCAGAGTTTAGTGTGAAATGTCATAATAGTCTTTAAATGACCCTATGAAAACCCTATGAAGAACTGCCAACAATACAAAATAAAAATGTCTTATCCTCGTTAAAAAAAATATATGAAACTGGTATGTATAAAAAAGTGCATTAATGATAGCTTTGTTAAACAGTGAAATGTGTATCAAAATCACGACCCTATATTCATAAATAACGATAAAAGCAGTTCATCATAAATCAATAAATGATAAATATATTAAAAATTCAACCGGCTAAGTATAATATGTGTCCATCGTCTATGTGTCGGTATGCGAGTGCGCATCTACCGTAGACTAAACTATTATGCGTTCAAAATCGATTTGATGTATAGATACATAATGTTGAAGGGATTTAAAATAACTTGACTTTTTTTTTTATAGTTAACGCTTAGCTCTGCATCTGTTGATCCACCTGTTTTCTATTTGCACGTATAATGAATCACTATTAATTCAAATTGTAACACACCCATAACATTGACATACTCAATTACGAGGTACACTCAAAAACAACTAAACAGAAGACCTATTTTTTTAAACATTAATTAACTATCACTACTATTCATTATTATTAGTGCATTGGAAACCCACTGTATGAATATTTTATAAGTATATACCACCTACGCATAAGTCGAAAATAAAAGACGAAAAACCTAACAATATAAAATGAATGTACCTATTACTTTAGTAGTAGTGAATTTTAGAAATTATAAAATATAATGTATTTCTTCAGAAACGCCAATAATCCTGGTAGCTGAGACGTATTAAAAAAAAAAAAAAGTTAATGATGACTATGTTAATATTTTTAAAGATAATTAATTTCCATTAAGAATGCAATTAGTTATGAAACGTTTAAAGTTAAAGCGTTAAGTGTGTAAAACAATTTACTCGGCGGACACACCAAGTAAATTTTACATCATTTCTTAAAATTATTTTATTTTGAAAATATGATATCATTTAAAATATAATTTATACATTATTGATAACTTGACTATATAGATAATAAATTATTATACAACTACCTACTTGATTTAAGTAAAATTACTTTTTTAATATCATTAGTTGTTCCTGGTTTTATAATTTTGTAATAGATACCTAATTTATTACGGTAACGTTTTTATCACCTATTTATTACCGCCTGTGGTAAGAAGCCACTAAATTATAGATTAAATCAAAACCAAAATGTAATGTTCTATTTATTAGCTTGTTTTTATCTTAAATAACAACTATTTAATTTGTTTTAACTAATGGTTTTTTTATGAACTACAATATTTTATGACCAAAATAATATTCTTTTAATTTAATAAAACTATTGTGAAGGGTTTTATACAACTATAATACTATACATAAAATATAAGTTGCAATATAGGTACATAATGTTTAAATTATAATATATAAATTAATTTAATGTGGCTAATGACCTATAATATGTCACTTATTATAAAATTTTATATCATATTATATTGATGTACAATGTTTTATGGTATTATTAAAAATACCTTGACGAAGAAGTACCTAATACCTTTGTAGTTTATGTTTTTCCGTATGTCTATGACACACGAGTTATAAATAATTAATTAAGTAAACGATTATTTTTTTTGAATACCTATGGTAGATAGCTAAATTTAAATACGCTTTAGAGAAAATAAACAATGAGATGATATAAATATTACATTGTTTCGTTTCTAATTATTTTCAGTGAATGGTTGTTATAGACTCTAGTGAGTCCTTTAAAAGGGATTGGAGTTTACTGAACAAAAAAAAAAACCAATACACAATAATGAAACTATGGATTAGCGTGTGTTTACTGGCGGTTCCCAAATCGTAATGTATGACCCCAAAGTATTGTCTGTAATATGGATACGGTCACTTGTCGTCATACGTTACACAACTTCGCTTAAAAGCCATTATGGCCAATCTCTCTGGCATTTTTCAAGTTTTTCCAACTTTTCGAGACGAACAAAAAAAAGCTGTTTTGTTACCATGAATTTTGAAAATTAGTACCTCTGTAAACAATCGTTAACTCTAAAAAACAGGTACCTATACTGCAGCGTCTTTCTGAAATGTTATTTTTACGAAAACTCATGAGTATGGCCTTGATATTGTGTATAACAAATACTCACACATCAGATAGGCCGTGATATTTTTACCAAAAACTATATATTTTAAATAAAGGTTCATGAGATCGTCTTTGATAGTAATTTAGTTTAACTTAAGATAGGTCATGATAACAGACAATTTTAGATAGATAATGATTTTGATTTCTCACACCGGACATTTCACTCCAACCTCGAAACTATAATGACACGGTTTCATACTTTTGGAAACACGAACCATAATTGTTATAGATAATGCAAATTCAAATTTTTTGAGAAAGGTCATCATGGTACTCGGGCAACTGTACTATTGTGATGCTTTATTTATCTTAAAAAATCTATATGTTAAATATAATATTATTTTTGGTTATTAAGGCGGCCACAAATAACACAAATATACCAATATTCCAATGCCACGGAACGGAAGACCCGGTCATACCTTACGTATGGGCCACAAGAACATCAGAAATACTAAAAGAGTTTACCACTAAAAGCCAATTCACTAGCTACGAAGGCTTGTTGCATCGTACAAATGAGAAAGTAAGTAAACAATTTGAACGATTGTAATATGACGTAATTATAACTAGTAAGTGTACCAAGTTTAGGATTTTTTTATTATCATTTTTTTTTTATTTTTTGATTACTTGCCAAGAATAAAAAGTAACATTATACTATTAATCTGTGAATAGATGAACAAATTTGGTGAATCTAGGTACACATGCATATATATTTTTATTTTGCATACTTATTAGGGATTCAAATTTATTTTGTTTGTTTTGATTCTTGAAAATTTCGACAAATGTACAAATGTAGTCCCTATATACATTTTCTGTAATATAGTTTATACTTCATTTTGTAATGCATTCAGTCTATATTTGTGTGCAAAATCGAAAGCAATGAGGTAAAAATTAAACGGAAAGTGAAATATACTTTCAAGTTTCAATTTTATTTGAAGAACCCCTCACTTAGTTTAATTCGTAATATTCACATATTCATAAAAAAATCACACGAGGTTGAGCTAAAATTAATAAACAATCATTTATTTATATTTACAGGAGTTGGCAGATGTAAAAGCATTTATTCACAAGACTGTGCCATGAACAATTTGACATCGAATAGAGTAAATGGCTTAATAATATTAGCTACAAGCAGCTAGTATACCAATGTGTATATACATTATAATTTAGAACGTTTAGGTATTTTCTAGGACTCATTGTGACATTTTATTTGTGGATAAATAAATTATAGATATTTTGTGTTGAAACCAATGATTTAAGACATTATTGAGAGAGTGTTAAGATACATTTTAACTAAAATAGATGATACTAATCCAAAAAAAGCATTTTCCTTCATCCATAGGAGCAATACCGTTCAAAAATTAAAACATTTCTTTTTCAAAACGTTAAATATAATATTATTCAAATATTACAACGATTTTTCAATTTTCAACATTTTGCATTTTAAAGCCGGCTGACAATCGTGTAATTTGTTCCTATTTTTATCTGTGACCTTAGTTTACAATATAGTTTTTAACAGTTTTATAGATATGGCTCAGTGTTTATATAAATATATTTAACATATATACTTTTCTGTGTACAATATCAACGTTTTAAACAAACACAAATCAAAAGCTATTTCAGTTGATATGTAACAAATAGCATCTCTAGAATATAATTTCATTACGAAACTCAAAAAAAAATAAAACCAATAAGCAGAACAAATATTTGTTTCAATTAAGTAATTAATGAGGAGTTATACAGTTTTTCTGTGAACATAATCGAATATCTCTTATGCGAGTTAAGTCGGAAAGGTAAGTAGTACAGAGATAAGAATATAATATTTGGCATAAACTATAAAGTATATACATGACTTGAATAATTGAATGATTAAAAACATTAAAATAAATATTTTAGTTTATAGTTTCAACTTTTCAAATATTTATTTTATGCTATAGAATAAAAACAAACAAACACCAAGTATACCTATGTATCTATTTTCGTTTAAAGCTTTTGGACTGGTAAAATTGGTGAAAAACGTTAGTTCGCTGGCGTACGTCTTCAACAAAAAATCTCGATCATTTTCGAAAACCTACTCTGAACACATCTTCGATTTTCCCGCAACTTAGTTAGGTACCTATTTATTTAAGCTCGACACATTGTTTAACATGACAATGATATTATGTGTGATTAGTTTTTTGTACAAACATAATCCGTGGTGCTATAGACAGTAAACACTCACACACTCACAGTTATTGTTGTTGTTTGTATTATCTTCACTCTATCTGGTCCTGATCATAATATTATTGTAATGGTCACGAGAGCCACGCATGATTTATTGATCGTCTAAAGCGGAATCCTCGAAATAGGTATAAAAAATATATATTATTATATTTATCGCAAGCTCGTGTATAAAATTGTTATAGCTCTAGACTAGTCAGAAGAAAACGGACAAAATAAAATTTTTGAATATGGATTACACGATATTTCGCTGCCACGGAGGTAGTACCAACACATAGGTTACAACACAACGTTTACTATTATTATATTATTATTATGCATCTATTCTATTATACTATAATATTAATTCTATAGCTGTGCTATGCGCGTAAATCATGCAGACAAACGCCTAAGCTGGTCGTCGAGGGAGTCTCCTGGATGTAGATAGGTGGAGATCCCGGCAACTATTAGGGCAGGGGGGTTTAAAATATATTCGATAGAATCGTAATATATCAGTATAGAGCCCACACACACCCCCCACAAATTTACCTATACAAACGAATTTAACAGTTGTTCAATAATAGTTAGTACTATATACGCACAGGTATTCGGTAATATTGTTGTCGTTCACCACGAATTGAATAAAACATTAATTTACTTTTTTTTTAGTGAAATAAGGTAGACTTTGTGATTTGCTTCGGCAGTCTTCAAATAGTCATTTATGCTTGAAGGTTTTATACGACTTTAATCGATTAAAAATATTATAACCGTGCATGTTTCACAATAAGTATTTTTATAAGTATATTTTTAATATTTAAAAAAATATTACTAATCAATGTTACTAATGAATTATGATTTATTAAAATAATAAAAAATATGACTAGGTATCAATAGGAGGTAGACAATCAAATACATGGTGATTTGCTAAGCATGCTCATTGCTTTCCCTATTTGTATGCTTAAATTATGAGTATACATTAAAATTCTAATTGTTGGAATTTTTAAATACACTTGCAATAGGCCATTATCTCGAATACTGGAGACTTTTTGACCACTTGAAGATAACCTTGTGACAACAAAAACTTCTGTTTAATTTTTCCAATTGAAACCCCCCCTTTTCACTTTTAGTCATTCAGTGGATGTATTTTTTGTTGAGAACTTTGGTGTATTTTTATCAACTTTCGGACAAATATTTTTTGAGTTGTATAATTTGGTGTACTAAGAATAATAAACCAATGTTAATAGGTTTAGTAGAGATAAGGGCTTATGTGGTTTTAAAATGTTGGTATAACCACACCAGTAGTCTATCAATACAAATAATTTTTAAAAATTATACAAGTATAACAAATACTACATCAAATATTACATATAGTTTATATTTTAATAATACCATTTTTAAGAATTATCATTATTTGTATAAACATTTTAAGAGCTCAGAAACTTCTCAATAGAAATTTTATTTCCATACATCAACATTTTCAAGAACATTATCCGTTTAGTAATTTTCTATAAAATAAGCAGAGTTCCCATTTGAAAAGTAGTAAATTATATTGTCACGAGACACTCTTTAAGTAGTAGGTACAAACAATATCAGGAATTTGAAAATATAGTCAGTCTATATAAGTAAACTTAAAAATTCTAAAAATCGAAATTTGAATAAGTGTATTATTAAAGAGAAAAATGGGAGTAAGCATGCTTAAAAAAATCACAACGTATATAGGTAGGTACCTTCCAAACGTTTGATTGTAATTTACACCTAACACTTTCACAGTAGTCATTATTTGACAACGATTACTTGCATGCCTTGTAAATGTAAATATATTTCAAATATAAATTAAATAATAATTTAACCTATAATAATAAATAATAACTATACAATATACATCCAGTATACTTTTTTATTCTGGTAGACATAAAATAAGGTTGAAATGTATGTAAATGTAATCATTATTGTATGGTTTACAAAATAATATATATTGTTATTGTAGTTCAAAAAGTTACTAGGTAGTAGGCAACACATAACATTGGAGTTTTCCGTACATGTAAAAATTAAGCGTCTGGTTATAAGTTACAAAGCACCTAGGTACCTATCCAAAACTATCAACCCAGCTAAAGATTTACAAAACTTTTAAAAGTCCACAACATATGTTGCGAACTATATCCATATAATATATAAGTATACAGTATACACCTTTAGTCTTTACTCATACACAGAGAAAATTCATCTGTCCAGGACCTGTGTTCTACCATGCGTAATGATAAGTACAAACTTTGATAACCCCTAAAATAATGACGTCGGTTTAAGTAATAACGGAATACTCAAAACTTATCTGAGCACGCCTTAACCCTCTTAAAACTGTTTTCGTATTAACGTGGTGATAAGAACGTCTGCTATTATAAGGAAATTGTTGGGTAAATACGCATTTCGAAATCACGTAAGTAATATTACTGTATTAATACAATTACGAGTATTATTATAATATGGTTTGATACATTTTTTTAACCTTGGCTCAAAACTCCTGTAATTAAACTAGGTTCAATAAAGAGTAAAAGTGTGATGTGATGTAGGTATATGAATTTAGTATCGTGATAATACGAAATAACAAAGCATATTATTACGCATAATATGGTATATTATGGGGGCGCGGGGCGTATCAATAAACTATTGGAATAATGGACAGATAAGAAATACACGAACTTAATAATATTCAAGATTTGATGTAACTGTTTTAATTTGATACGAGGCAATAGTATAATGCAATAGTATTATGTTTTATTTGCAATCGTTATTGCGTTTTGCTCTGCACCGCTCGTATTTCATTAACAATATTTTATTGGTGGTACTTGAGAAACGTTTGAGATTGAGATGTTATATAATATCGTATTGGTCTTCTCTGCCATATATCAAACGGAGAATAATAACCCTATATAGAAACTGATATATAGGTACGTGTATAGTGACACTCGAAGTTTTTCTCACAATATGTATATAATAAATATATATATATATATGTATAAACATCATATGCGTACGTATTTTATTATTGTTACAACGTACAAGGGAATACTAACCCGAGAGAACTCAGAAAGCCAAAGAGACGGTGTATTATATATAACTGTGAATATAATATAATGATAATTTCGTTTACCGTCGCTGCATCGAGGGCAATATTCAACCTCTTTTTTGTTGAAAAAATTCCCAAAAGCAGTTTTTCCGAAAGCCGAAACCGATTCTGCATTTGAAAAATACGAACTGCTTAAAATTTATTTTAAACAAATTTAAATTGATTTTGTTATGTAGGTTAGGTCTAACCTATATCAGACATAAAACAACGATATTTTTTTATAAAAAATCACATGGATTACCTCGACGATTACTCGCCAAAAGTGCAATAATTGTAGACCTCCAACGCGTACTTGGTGGTATATGTTTTCGTATATTAAAATAATACGTACTTAATTATATTATATTATTATTGTACAATATTTAAAACGGGTCACTGATGGCTAAAAACACGACAGTAACGATAAAGGCACAAGTTGTCGTTTACTTTATATATGATTTTTATTTTTTACTATTCTATACTATAGTGAGCACAATAATAATTCAGGGTGTAACAGAAAGACCAGTTGATAAATAAGAGGCAAATTGGTACTAGTTAAAAGTATGATGAAATTATGAAAATGCTATGGATAGGTGTCAATAATAATATTATACTTATGTCGTAAAATTCCCAAAAAGAATATTATGAAAAAGTTATTGCGTTTCAAATAATTTGACTTCGAAAAAATATTTATATTTTAAGAACTAATGAACTAGACTGAAATAATTGTTTTTACCACAATATTTATTGTCTGAGTGTAAACAGATTTTTCCAAAAAATTAAAACAGTAAAAACAAATGTTTAAACATTGATTAGAACTAAAGTTATTACATCTTTTAGGTCTTGCTACTACACTCAGTTTAATAGAAGCAATATTTTCGTTAGAATACATCACACGAATAACAGCAGTGACTACTCGCAGAGGGTACAATATAATTGACCTCTG